GTCCAGGGTCACACAGATAGTAAGTATCTCAGGCCAGATTTGAACTCATGAAGATGAGTTTTCCTGACTCCAGGCCTGGCACTCTATTCACTATGGTGCCACCTAGATGCCCTGAGAACACAAATACAAGCAAGGAAAATAGTCCCTACCTTCAGTGAGTTTGCATTCCAGTAGGGGAAGATAACACATATAAGGGTGTTGGAAAGTGGGGAAATAGGCGTATAGTACATAAGAGTAGGTGACCAGAAGGGGAAAGAGTCCTGAGAGGTAGAGGTGAGAGTGAAGTGAAGGATTTTGGGTCTTTGTGATAAATAATATAGGGATGAGGAAAGAACAATGGACTAGGAACCAGTAGTCTTTACTCTGAACTGTTACACATAACCACGACTTAACCCTGCCACAATGACCAAGTATTCCTAAGCTGATTGTAGAAGAATGGTCATTATACTTTTCAACTTCATCAGACATTAAACACCTACCATGTGTAGAGCACATAGCATCCCCTTTTTTTGGAGCATTCCTACTATTAATAAGTATATGTTGACTGGGAAATTCTGATGCATTAAAATTTGCACCTTTTACAGCATGTAGCATGTATGTTTCAGGCTGCCCCTAAATTAAGATAGTACTTCATAATTACAAAATATTTTCATCCCCATTATTAATTTATTAACTCATTTATCATTTAATGAGTACCTGGTAATGTATAATAGATTTTGCTATGCTCTGAGGGAGTAGAAAAATATGTAAATTATGATCTCTGCCTTAAGTAACATGAAATCAAACAAGATAATAAGAAATCAATCTCCTTTGATCCTCAAAAAGACCTTGTGAGGTATTATTAGCCCTATTTTTCAAGTGGAGAAATTCAGGTTTAAAATGGTTAAAGTGTGGGAACTTGGGTAAAATCATGCAGTTAACTAGTAGCTGAGCTCAATCTCAAACTCTAGTCTTCTGACTCTAAAGTCAGTACTTTTTTTTTTCCTATACAACTACAACAGGTGTGACCAGGGCAAGGAAAAGACTACATATCTCAGAACACTTGAGCCCAGAGTATAAATACTCATTGACCAGATGAGAGGAGAGGTTGACCACTATGCAAGTTGGTTGATAGAAGGGATTGAGGAAGGACAATCATGAGATGAAGGAGAAATGGCGGTATTCATTGGGAGTATGTGGCCAGAGGAAGAAGCAATAAGCCAGGGGGCAACTAGGTGGTGCAGTGGATAGAGCGTTGGCCCTAGATTCAGGAGGACCTGAGTTCAAATGAGTCCTCAGACACATAACACTAAACTATCTGTGTGACCCTGGGCAAGTCACTTAACCCCATTGCCTAGCGCCCCCCCCATTTTTAAAAAAAGAAGAAGCGATAAGCCAGGAGCTTCCTGGAGCCCAGTAGTAGCCAAATGAATGACAACAGATATGTGCAGGAGACATTTTCAACCACCAATGCCATGGTTTTCCACAATGGCATTCAGCCCCCTCATTCCAGCTGTAGCAGCAAGAGACCTTACCCCATGTGAACTCAAGAGTCTTTTGGAAAAGCTAATTTCCCAAATTTCCTTACCCTGAGGGTAAAGGAAGTAAAATTATACCCATTCAGGAATATGGCTGAGATAGTTTTTTGTTATTTCTTGTCTGATTAAATGTTTTATTGTTTTAATGCTATTTCTTGCCAGAATCTATTAGAATGGTGAGCAATTAAATGTCTAGACCTAATTCAATTTCAGAACTTCACGGTTTTCTAACAGGGTGAGGATGAGTAATTCAGATAGGTAAATTATCACTGAAAATTCTCATGATTTATACGAGAATTCATGGAGGTCCCTAGCAATAGAGATTCAACACTAGAGAGTTTTGTATAGTTTATGCAATATTTCTATGTTACTGTTAGGTCTCAATTAGTTTGAACAATGAAATCACCTGAAGTGGTAATATTATTCCAGTTTCTATGGCATATTTACATTGAGCTGGAACCAGTTACCGTATTTTACATAATTATAGCTTCAAATAATGTGAGTTCAAATACAGACAACTGACCGCTTCAGGGAATTCATTATTGGCACTAATCAGAACCTAGATCCAGCAATTTTAGCAAGTTTAAAAAGCAACGTGGTTACCAATGGAGAGTGTACCGACTTTGCGCTCAGAAGGCCTGAATTTGAATCCCTTCTCTGTTTACTACCTCTGTGATGTTGGGCAAATGACTTCATTTTTCACCAGATTGTCAAAAATGTCCAGGACACACAAAAAAGGTTAAGAACGTCTGCACTAGATAACCTCTAACGTTCCTCCCTGTTCTAAAACCTGTAAAAATCAGTCCTGAAACATGCTACGTGGCATGATTCTCAACATTTTAACATTCACTTTCAGTTTTAAAACTTAGCTCAGTTGACTTGCTATAAGGAAATTGTCTTCTGAAAAAGGTCCTAACATAAATGCTGCAAGCTCATGAGGTATGCTCTGACCTGAACCCAAGGCAGTGGGTTTCCCAGGGTTCACACTACATCCTGTCTTAGTGACTGAGATTGAAAACACCCCAGCAACCAGAAAGCTGACCAGCAATATAATAGTCAGGCCACATTGAACTAGAGACCTTGGGAACTTTCCTCACAGTTGAAACTTGCGAGGTGATGATGAGTTGAAGTTTATTTAAAGTTGGCCAGTGCCTAAGCACTCATATTTCTGTCAGTCTTGCTTTAAATAGCATCATCGTTCTTTTAACTATATGTAAGTGATTTGAAAATGTATAATTCATCAATTAAAAAATTCTCATTTCATAGGAAAACATGGTTGAGTTGAAAGAAATGCCGTTTTCTGATTATATTTGGTGTTCAGAGAGGACAGATGCTGCAGTTAACTTGTGACCACAGTTGAGCGTCCCCCTCCTCCTGTCAGAATTCCTAATGTATTTGGGGGTCACAGAAATCTTTCAGCCACTGGGACTTGAGCACATCCTTTTTATGACCAAGGTCAAGCTATTTGTATACTCTAGAAACAAAAGAAAGCTGTGACAAGAAAAAGTAGGCACATAAACATGAATGTCTGTGAGTACCCCACTTCACTTGAAAGGACTGTCAGAGCCTTCCCCCACCCCCACCTCCTGCAGTACGCCTTACATCCCCACTTCAGATAGGTCACCTCTTTTTTTCCTCCAGCTCTCCATTGCTGCCACTTTCACCCGTATGGGAGGGGTGGGAGCCTGGCTGCTCTGGGTGTATTTGGGGATAGAGGAAGAAAAACAGTAGCACCCCCACTGGCTCCAAAGACTGGTATTCCTAAGAATTTGCACAAATCTTGGTAACCATCTTAAAGCATTTATGAAGTTTTCATGGAAAGTAGGGCTTAGATTTGTCCAGCTGGACCCTAGGAAGCCAAACTAGAAACAAGGAGGAGAAGTCACAGAGGCAGATTTGGGCTTGGCATAAGGGGAAAACCATTTAACATGAGAACTCTGCCAAAGTGGAATGTGGTTGTGGGTAGCTTCCAGCTGAGGTCTTCAGACTTGTTGGGTTTAGTGGAGAAGGAATTCTTGTGAGCGGGTAGACTGGACTCAATAGGACCAGAGATGTCTTCTACGAGGGCCCAGACCCTGTCCACTCTACTGTCCCTCAGTAACAACTCATCTTTGAAACCACAGGTCTATGGTTTCTGTCAAGGCCAAAGCTGGCTCCCTAGGGCAGGAACACGGTGGTCCCCAAAAAGAATGCCACCCCTCAGAAGTTGAGAGGAAGGAGCTTTCCAGCAGATATCAGGGTATGTCAGGTAGTGCCTGGGGGACTCCTGAATGGACAGGCATTAATCACACTCTAGTCTGACCCATGTGGACAGCTTAGCTGAGTGACTGGGGGCTGCCTTGATGCTCCCTGTCTGCCTCCGTGCCTCCTTGCACCCACTCTGCCCTTCACATTGCCCCAGGCACCAGGGATGGTCATCCTTGAGCTTCCTCCAGTCCTGGACCACACCCCAAGGACTCCAGTTTAAGATCCACTTCCCCAAGAAGCCTTCCTAGAACCTACGGCTCACACTGGTCTCTCCCGAACCACTTCCTATCTTGTCAGTACCCTTCAGAGCCTTTCAAATCAATCAACAAACATTTACTGTTCCCTTTTCAAGTTCCAGGCACTCTTCCAAGCACTGGTGGGAGGGGTGGGGGGGGTACAAAGACAAAAATTGTTTTGGCAAATGTTTCCAAAGTGTGTTGTTTTGATTTCCTGCCTGAGAATATACAAAAATCACAGATTTAAAATTTCCATCCTTCTCTGATGATTCAGAACCATCTAGTAGCCTACCACCGTTCTTATAAATTAGATTGAATCAGGAGAGCTCAATTCTAGTATTATCATTAGCTCTCTTTGTGACCATGGGCAAGTCTCTCCCTAGGCTCAAGTTTTGTCATGTACAAAAAGAAGAGATCTGGCTGAAATCATCTGGAAATTCCCTTCCAATTCTAATAGTACATTAGAAGCAGATTTAGAACATAAAAGTGCTAGGGATAAAGCACATTCAATTCAGTAAAGCAAAATAGTAAAGCTAGGTAGAATGTTGGAATTGGAGTCAGGTAGACCTGAGTTCAAATCTTCTCTCAGACACTTACTTGGATAAGTCTCTCTTAATTTCTCTCAGCCTTGGGTCCCTCATCTGTAAAATGAAGAGGTGGGTTGGACTTGATGGCATCTGCAGTCTCTTCCAGTTCTAAATCTAATATCTTAAAGTCTGGCCTTCAAGGCTCTCCTCGAAGCTGCCTTCTATCCATATGTCCAAATCCTACAAAGTGGCTTGATAGCCATAATGACAAAGATGCCTTTGCTCAGTGACTTGTGATTATTAGCATCAAGAACAACAGTTATTCATATCAACAATTACTAGTCTCAACTGGAACAGTGATTTCCACTAATAGAGGAAAGCACAAATGAAGTAACTCCCTTTAAAAGTAGAGGTTAACACCTTCTCTAGAAAGTTGCCTACAGCATTGGAAAATTAAGAGACTTACTCAGGGTCAAGCAGGCAGGAGGAGTCAGAGATGGGGCTTCAACCCAGGTCTTCCTGACTCTGAGGATAGTTTTCTCCATCCACTATGTTTCACTGCCTCTTTTGATATTAATATCAAGTGAGGCATAAAACAGGGAGATGTATGTGGCTGAAAGTGGTCACCACTGTCATGGAGCAAGTTTAGCACAGATTCCAAGTAGAAGGGGAACTCCTTATAGCTGCTAAGGTCTTCCACATGCTTGTCTTTGGAAGCGATGTTGTGTTGATTGTATCAAGACCCAGACGGCTCTGAAGGAGAAAGTGAGGTTGGTGACTTTGCACAGCCCTCCCTCACTTAAATCCAATTCACTCACAAGTCATGGCATCATCTTCCTGACGTCATGGTCCTCTTTGAGAAGGCATACTACACAAGCAAGCCCCAGGACACTGGCTCTAGTGGCTTAAATGAGATCTATAATCACTCAAAACAGTTTTGACCTAACTATCTACACAGGAAAATGAAGAATTCAATTCAATAAACATTTATTAAGTGCCTACTATGTGCCAGAGATAGAACCAGTTTGGCAATCAGACACAAAAAGAAATCCCTCCAGTTTTTCTATGATTAATAGTTAAGCTAGTGGGGTTTTTTTGAGATAATGTATGTAAAGCTAAGCATTGGAGATGTTTATTGTCTAGAGGCTAGAGTATGATGCTCAATCCAATGGACTACCTGTAATGCTTGTCCATCAGTACCAACACTTAAGCTAGACATTACAAATGGACAATGGTTTGAGCCCCAAATTGACAAGGAACAGGAAGGTAGGTAGATCACCTTTAGAAAATGTCATAGTTCTTCCTCTGACCCCAAGCTTCTTTTTGAAAAGGAGACTAATCTTTTTAATACTAGTTATAGTCCTTCTAGTGGCATATGGTTACCAAATAATACTGTAGTAGCTGAATAATGGAAATTGAGGAGCAAGCAAAGTAAAACAGGGAGGTGCTCAGCAGGCATGAATAGGATGCAACATGTTATAAATAAAAAACTGTACAAGAGAAGTGTTGGAAAATGTATTATTAGGAAAATATATGACCAGAAAAAAAAAAGATGGATTAGTCATGTTGTGAAAGTGAGGAATAATGAATGTCTAACCCACTCCTTCCGTTGTCCTTCACATAATAATAATGATAACAACCATAATAGGTAGCATTTACATAACACTTTAAGGTCTGCAAAGTTTTTTATGTGTTGAATCTCATTTGACCGTCATAACAACCTTGTGAGATAGGTTCTATTATTATACCTACTTTTTCAGATGAAGAAACTGAAGCTGGGAGGGTAAAAAATTTGTCCAAGGCCATAGAGCTGATAAGTCTCTCGAGGAGATTTGAACTCAGGTCTTCCGAGTCTGACACTCTAGCCGCTATAGCACTCAACTGCCAGATGACCAATGCCAGGAGAATCCAAGGAAAATCTATCTATTTGATGGATGCTCGTGATGAATTTATAGGAGGATGTGGACGACAGTCATAAAGATGAATAGACCTGGAGTAGCTGGGGTCTGCAAAATGTCAAGAAATACTCACTTCAATCAGATCACATTAGAATATGTGACAAACCATAGAAGCTACTTTTCTGAACAAAGTCCGGATATCAGCTTGCTTTCAAATAAAGCGATGAATAAGCTTGCATCTCTCTGTAGTCTTTCAAAAGCTCAGTGTTAGTTTCACTTGCATTACCAACAGAGACTAATTTCTATCAGCACCATCAAGTTTTCAGAGATAGAACCAGTTTGGCAATTAGACACAAAAGGAAATCCCTCCAGTTTTTCTATAATTAATAGTTAAGCTAGTGGGTTTTTTTTTTTTGAGATAATGTATGTAAAGCATTTTGCAGACTTTAAAGTGTTATATAAATACAAGCTATAATAATGTTAATAATAATTATTAGAATATCTAGCTAAAGAAGAGCCAGCTTTTCCCACTCTTTTACATGCCTGCTATATTAGAAAATCACTATAAAAAGTATTGGAATTAATTGCAAATGATACTAGGTGGTAAAGAGGATAAAGCACCAGGTCTATAGTCAGTAAGACTCTTCTTCCTGAGTTCAAATCCAGCCTCAGAAACTTACTACCTGTGTGACTCTGGGCAAGCCACTTAATCCTATTTGCCTCAGTTTCCTCATCTATAAAATGAGCTAGAGAAGGAAATGGCAAACCACTCCATTATCTTTGGCAAGAAAACCGCAAATAGGCTCACAAAGAGTCAGACACAACTGAACCAAAACACACAAGACCACTCTATCGGGGAAACAAAATGCAAGCTCATAATTGGCAAAAGCCTGTGAATCACAGCCCAATTTGTTTATTGATTCTGAGCTCCTGATGTTTTCCTAGAGATACTGGTTATCAGTGCCAGTGTGTGGGTGGCATTTGGACACAATAGAGTATCAGGTGCCAGAACGAGGAGCCAGGCTACACAGACGACATAGTTAGGCAGCCAGTCACTGTCAGGGCAATCAAATAGTACACAGAGATGGGGCATGCAAAATCAAGAGGGACAAGAAAAATAGTCAGAATATGGGATATCAGTGCCAAGGAAAAGAGCAAGACATGGCCTCTAAATAGGTAAGTTAGGGTCATCAGGAAAGAATCGGAACTAGGCAGGAGGACATGAGCAGACGCTATACCTAAGGACATGGGTAGGGGCATCTAGCGTTCAAATCAAACCCAAAGAAATAAGGCAAGGAATAATAATAGCTAACCCTTTCATAATGCTTTAAGATATGCAAAGTGCTGTACATTTAATATCTTTTGATCCTCACTGCAACCCTATGAGGTAGGTGATATTATTTCCATTTTAGTTATGGGGAAACTGAGGCTCAGAGAGTTTCCATGACTTGTCCAGGGTCACACAGCTAGTAAATGTCTGAGGCAGGATTTGAACCCAGGCCTTCCTAACTCCACTTCTACTCACTATGATGCTTGGCTGCCTCTGTGTGATGAAAGAATATCAGACTAGGAATTAAGATCCTTGTCTCAGTTCTGTTGCTAATTAGTTATGTGACCTGAGGCAAACACAATGGAAAGAGCCCTGGATTTGGAGACAAAGGTGCAGAGCTTATATTTTGGATCTGTCATATGCTGCCTGTGTGATCTTAAGAAAATTACATCTCTGGACCTCAGTTTTCTTTTTAAAGTGAGTTGGGGAGGACAGATTATCTTTGAGGTCTTTTCCAGCTTTTATGTCTTAAGATCCTAGGGTCTCTGAGCCTCTGTTTCCTTATCTGTAAAATAAAGGAGGGATCAGGTCACCTGCAAGGTCCCTTCCAGCTCCAAATCTATCATTCTGTAATCTCTGGGTCTGGGTTTCCCCCTCTGTAAAATGAAGCTTTAATTTAGATCATTTAGTGATTTGTGAGTTGGATATGATAGTCTGAGTTTATGCTAAATATTATTAAATGATGCCTTGATCAGCAAGTAATTGCAGAATATTAGGGGTAGCATAGTACATTTCCCTAGGGGTTTATAACACATTTTTGTTTTTGTTGAAAGGGGTTTGCAGAACAAAAAAAAAATTGTTGGGAATCATTGGACCAGAGGATCTTGAAGGCTCTTTCTAGCTCTAAATCTAAATGCATGGTCTGGGGGCTCCTTGATGGTATCCAAGATCTTTCTGAGTGTCCCACAAAATTATTTTGAAAATAATACTAAGAGGTTTTCATTTATAAGACAGTAAATATCAGTAGATATCATTCATATAAACAAAAGCTCTTTGGTCCTTGATAATTTTTAAGAGTGTCAGGGGTTTTAACACCAAAAAGTTTCTTAACCTGTTTCCTCTCCTATGATATCAGAAGGTTAAACTAGATGATGTCTGAAGTCTCATTCTACTGGGGATATAACTTGTAAATAGATAGGTGAATAGAAGATAATTTGAAGAGGGAGAAGACAATAATAAACAGAGAGATGAGGAAGAGCTTCTCATAGGAGGTGGCATCTGAGCTGACCTAGAAGGAGGAAAAGAATCTAAGGGATAGAGGAAAGGGAGGAGTATAGTTTAGACATGGAATTCAGATATCTGCTTGGGAATCACCAGCACAGAGACAATAATTGAGCCATAGTAGCTCGGGAGAGGAGGGCGGGAGAGCAGATAAGAAGAAAGAGAAGAGAGAAGGAAAGAGAGGAGAAGAGAGTGGAAGAAGAAGAGAGAGAAAAAAGAGAGAGGGAGAAGAAGACAGGGAGAGAAGTCAGAAAAAGAGAGAGGAGTAAAAGAAAGAGATAAAAAAGAAAGACAGGAAGAAGAAAAAGAAGAGAGACAGGAGAAGAAGAGCAAGAGAGAAAGAAAAAGAGAGAAGAAGAAATTGATGATGATGATGATGATGAAAAAGAAGATGAAGAAGAGAGGAGGACTGGAGCCTCGGGGTACGGATAGGGGAGCTGAGATATAGATGAAAGGAGGAAGGGAGCCTGAGGTGGAACAGTTGGAAAAGTAAGAAGACAATCAGGAGAGAGCAGCATTACCAAAGCTAATGAATAAGAGTGTATCCAGGAGGAGGAGGGTGCTTGACAGAGTCCAGAGCAGCCAAAGGGTCAAGAATGGAGACTGAGAAAGGCCATTGTTGTAGCCTGATATCCATTAGTCCAAACCCTGTTTCCATTGAGCTAGAGGCTCATGGTTTGACCCAACACAACAACAGACAAAACAAAAGAAAAATGGTTGTAGGAGCCACTTTAGTCACCAAGATTTCTTTTTGGCCATTGTCTCTCCTCTAGTTCATGCTCGACTTGAAACTGTAACTGCTTGTGAATAGCTATTTAAGAGACAGTTAGAGTCTCTCAGAGGACCTGGCCCAAACCATACTGTGTCAGTGAAATGGACAGAAGCTGCAAACAAGCAATTTTAGGCTTGACATAAGGAAAAACTTTTCCCAAATGGAATGGGTTTCCTTGGCAATAGTGAAGTCCCTTCACTGGAGGTCATCAAGCAAAGGCTGAACAAATACTTAATGGATATGCCATAGAGGAGATTCTTGTTCAGATATGGCTTGGACTAGATGACCACTGGGATCCCTTCCGAATCTGGGATTCTGTGATAAATCTTGGACATTAAGAGTGATCTCAGTTTCCTCCTCTGGGAAATCACAAGGTTGAACCAATTGACCTCCAAAGTCCCTTCTAATTCTGACATTCTTTGTTCCAGCAAGCCTGCCCATCTGACACTTAATCCTCAGTTAGGGATTGGTTGCTTTTTTCTTTGGTTTCAATCACCCTTCCTAATGTCAGATATGGGCTGACAGGTGTGTGCCGTCTACCAGAGGGAAAGAGCTGCTATCTGTATCCTGTGATTACTGCACAAGCAAAAGTCACAGTCTTGGGGGAAGAGGGAGAGTCCCAAAAGTTCCCCATAGCTCAGTGCCAGTGAACCAGAATATTATCCATACTGTCCAACGCTTTGGAAGCCTTATTATGTTATCCATAGTTGCATATACCCTTCCTCTAACCTGCCCCTCTCCTCCCCATTTCCATGCACACTCATAACCCACACTCCCACTTCCACTGCTGAGACATTGTTTGTGCTTAGATAGCTGAGAAGGACAGTGTTTTTAAACTTGAGTCTTGGCAGAGGCGTATTCATTTGGGAGCAGGGTGGTTGCCAGGTTCCCTGGAATTTGAATTTGAAGTAATGAAATTATAGAGACTTTAAAAATAGCATGCTGTGTGCTGGGCTGGCTATGTTTGTTTTCTTAACTTCCCTGAGACTTGCCATGGTGCCCTGCTCCAAAGATTATTGCCAGAAGTGCAGGGGTTCAGCCTTTTGCCCTTTCCAAGCTCCAAATGCCAGTGGGCTTGCATGCTGTACGTTCATCCTTAGCAACCCTCAAGAGCTCCTCTTATCTGAGCCTGGCTGCAAATCTTTCATGAAGCAAACCTTTACTTTTAATGGGTCATCTGATTTGATGCTAAGAATGGCACCCAGCAGGAGGGAAAGTTGGTCCAGCGGACCTGCAGTCAGGAAGCTGTTGTTCAGTTGTTTTTCAGTCGTGTCTGACTCTTCGTGACCCCATTTGGAGTTTTCTTGGCAAAGATAGTGGAACAGCTTGCCATTTCCTTCTCCAGCTCATTTTGTACATGAGGAACTGAGGCAAACAGGGTTAAGTGACTTGCCCAGGGTCACGCAGCTAGTGGCCAGATTTGAACTCAGGAAGATGAGTCTTCTTGCCTCACTGTGCCACCTAGATCTGGTTTTCAAGCCTGTCCCCAGACACTTATGAACTGTGTGACTCTGGGCAAGTCACACGACTTCTCTGAGCTTCAGTTTCCTCATCTGTAAAATAAAAATCATGACAGAACCTACCTCACAGGGTGGTTGTAACTGTCAAATGATGTATATTACGTGCTTTTCTTTTTTTTTTTTTGAGCAAATCTTCAATTTGTTTTTTGTTTTATTTTTCATCTGAGGGGTGATCATTGCTGTTCCTCACAGATCTACTCCCCTACCCCCCAAATGGCACAGAGGGTCCCTTTGCACTTTGCCAGCAGCCAGCACCCAGAGGCTT